AATTATATATATTGATAGGATTCATTGGAGTTGTTTTCTGGCATCTTCCATTTCATGTAAATCTAATTGAATTGTTGGAGAACTACAGTTAGGCTTGAGGTTTACATATAAACTTGTCTTAGGTGGCCCGAGGTTCGTGGATCTAAATACCCATAAGGAAAAGTTATGCTTAGTCAGATAGTTTGAATGCTTGAACTACTTAGAAATACAAACGTGAGTGAACACAGAAGTTAGACAAAAGGAAATCTGATCTGAGAGCGATTAGAAAAACAAATCAAGAATATTTTGTAGAATTAAACAGATAGCACAGAAAAATTTACATATTTTATAGAATCAATTTTTTTTAGCTTAAGAAGAACATGAAATGAATATTGCTTAAATTATAAATTTTGTTTATGCATAAAATAAGAAAAAGTCAGCGGCAAAGCAAACATTTGACTAAACTCTGAGTATCCTTATAAAAGATGACGTGAATGTAGCCTAACTAAACGTAACTAATATATGCCCAGGCACGATATACATATGTATATATTTGACTGAAATGCTGCTGTCTCTCTCACACACTCACTCACACTCCCACTCACACTCTTTGTCTCTATCTCACTCGCACTGATTATTGGACAAATTATGGTTTAAGACGCGCGACTTTGATGGCTGCCAATTGCTGTTTGTTTGCTTGTTGTTTGTTTGTTGTTTGTTGCTTGAGTTGTTTGCTGGGTTGTATTGTGGGTTGTTTAGCTGGGCTGTTGTTGTTGTTTGTGGTTTGTTGTTTGTTGTTTGCTGTTAATAGGGCTAATAGTTGGGTCTAACAATAGAAACGTACGCCATCCACTGAGAGGACCTGCTTTAATTTTCATTTATTCTGTCGATTCGGTTCCGTATGCAGCTGCACGCCTTCCACGGTGAAAATTGAGGTTTCTGCAAGGCAATAAATTGAAATATGATTAAATTTCATAAATTTCGGTATATTTATGCAAATTTTCTGTTAATTAAAATATAAATTATGACGAGACATTATTTAATATACTCTGCCTACATCTCTCTCGCTCCCTTTCTCTCTCTCTCTCTCTCTCTCTGTCAGCTGACCTCAGGCCAGACAATTAAAATGCAATGCAAATTTCATTTTGCTAACGAGCGAGGCATGGGTGCCACGCCCACTGCATAACCGCAATGCTCACACGCTCCAAGTGCTGCGGTTCTTTTTGGCTGTGCATTGACCTTATCCGGCGGCGGCGGCGGCAGCGGCTGCCCGGGACAACATGATAAATGCGGCACATTAGTTGCGTTTTAATTGATTTTATCTGAACAAACTGTTAAAGCTTCGACCGCAACACAGTGGTAGAGAGAGAGGGAGTGATAGAGAGCGAGGGGCAGGGGCAGAGTGAGTGAGCCAGTCGCGCTATTTGATGATCAAACCCCAAAAGTTATAAAGCTGAAATGCTGTGCCCTAATGAGTGTCTGCACCTGTGCGATAAATCCGAGCTGTTTACAATTTTGACCAAAATTAGCATATTTACTAGACTACGCAAATAGTCAGAGATGGATGTGTTTACAAATCAGCGTTAATCACAATTTAAGCGCACATTAAGCTACACAGCCATTAAGTGGACATGAGGGATGCTGCGTGAGAGAGAGAGAGAGTGAGAGAGAGAGAGRGRGGGGGGGGGGGGGGGAGGTAGACTCTGCTCTACCTCCCACAAATGCACTCAGTCTGCTCTGCTCTGCTCTGTTGTCCAACTCTAACCAAATGCACTTGGCAAATTGCAATGCTCGCTGCGTTTCGTATTCCATTTGGTCCACCAAATGCTTTTTCGAGGCTTCGGGCTAAATGTTTTGCCATTTACAATTGCAAATCGAAGCGAGAGCTAAATTAAGGCGAGCGCACAGCAAAAAAAAAAAAAAAAAAATGAGTTCAGTTAAAATATATTTGGCTTAAACGACTTTAGCTGCATGTGGATTTGGCTAGAATCATTTGGAAGAGCTCTCGTTTGACTAATGGTCAAATTGTAATGCGCGGATAGTAAAAACGAGAGTGTACATATATAAATAGTATATAAATAAGTAGTATATAAATGTATATGAAAAATATATGCAGTAAATACATATATATACTAAATAATATATAACTGTATCTGTTTTGGCAGCCATGGACTGAGTAGGCTTTAAAGAGTAGTAGAGACTAGAAAATATTCATATATGACTAGGAAATACCGGAACCATTTGTACAGAGATGCTATGCCACACCCACTTTTCCATTCAGGGCATATATTTGAATGAACTTGCCTTTATGGAACGATTCTTTTTCTAGTGAACATGTTAAAAGATTTTTATCAAACTGTAAATTAAATCTTAGTAGCAGAATTCTATTGAGCAGTGTAATTAATTTTGTAGTAAAACTTCTCGGATTATTTGCTCAGCTGGATGACAATATTTAAGCAGCTTCGGCGATAGGAAAGTTCTTCTAGTAGAAGAGCAAAAAAGTCTAATTAAAATCGAATTTCGCTTCGCTTGACAAAAATTTTAATGTGCTTGAACTACTCAGAAAGCTCAGCTCTGAGCAAAATGAAGCAATAATCTCTGCTGCCATAAAGACTCTATTATTGTCAGCGTTCTGTTGTTATGAGGACTGTAAAGAAGTTTATATATGAATAGTTTATTTCATATAGATAAACAGAGAATGAAAAGAAATGCTGAAGTTTTTTGTCTGCAGTCTTCCTGCTACTCCTCCTGCTGCTCCTCTATGCCTCCTTATTTTCGCTTGCTTTGTCTGTTGATTTTTTGGGCATATTCAAAGTGTCTTGTGGCAAATTAACTAGTTGCTTGCGCACAGCATTTTCACTTGGCCAACACAAATGGCTGCTGCTGCTGCCAACTTGCGACTTGTTGCGAAAGGAAACTTTTTCGCCGTAGYCGTAGCCGTAGCCGAAGGAGCACACAAATTAAAACACAAAAAGTGTAATTACTGTTAACTGTAGACAGCGGCAGATTGTTGTAGTAGCTGTGGCTGTTCTTGGCCAGGCAAACATTGGTTAAACAAACAGCAACAAGGCCAACTTTGTGCCACTAACTTCAAATGAGTTGTAGCTCAATTTCGGGGGCAAAGTGAGCGGGGCAGGAGCACAAACAAATTGTCGTGTTGCACTTTAATTGGATTTCTTTTTTGGTGTTCTCAATGCGACGCGAATTGTAAATATTTAATATGGAATGTAATTGAATGTCTTACCGTCTGGCAATTCGTAGAGTTTCTTTGGCAATTGCGCAAAGTAGGGATGATGCAGTGCGTCGTCGGCGCCGATGCGCTGCTCGGGATTGAGCTGGAGGAACGCGTTCGCTATCGTCTCGCCCTCGATGATATCGTACAGCCGTGGAAAATTGTGACCCAGTTTTCGTGGTCGATAGAAACCTAGCCAGTGTAACGAAGGTTCAATTAGTCTCTCTCTCTCTCTCTCCCTCTCTTTTCTTTTTTTTTTTTTTTTTTTTTTTGACCAAGTGAGGATGCTGCGTGGCCAATTACTTACCCAGCTTGTGTGGTTTATAGCCGGGAAAATGTGTGACGCCCTGCCACGTGTCCTCGGTGGGCGTGCCAAGCAATTTGAATATCTTGTCCAGCTGATCGTATGTATCACGTATGCCCGGAAACGTTGGCATACCAGTCACCATCTCCACAAATATGCAGCCAACGCCCCACATGTCCAGCGACGTCGAGTACTCCGTGCTGCCCAGCAGAACATCTAAATGGGAGAGAGAGAGAGAGAGAGAGAGACGGGAGTGGGTGTTAGGTTCGTTAGGTAAATGTAGTTTTTTCTATGGAAATAAATTGCAATTTTAAATAAATAAACAGAGCTGTTGCCCGAGAGGCAGTCGGATGACAGCCTGACACACTGACTGACAGCCATGCAGAGGTCGTCTTAGCGCTTATCTCGGCTGGCCCTAAACAAAGTTTTTACCACACACACACACACACACACACACGCGCGCATACAAAATAGGGACAGGTGGAACACACTCGACTGGCATGCACTGGACTGGACTAAACTCCAACAGCTCCAATGCTGAACAAACCACATCCGCACGTTTGCATATATCCATCCACTTGGCTGCAGATGCTGCTCGACTCTGCTCTACTCTATCTCCCCTCTAGCCTGGTCAAGAGTTTACTCGTCTGCTCGTCCGCTGCTAAGAAGTGCAGATTAAATTTGTTCAACATGCTTTGACTTGCCCCGTTGAGGTCAGTCGGGAGCCTAGGGAGCAGCATCGAGCTGCTGCTGCTGCTCGAGCAGGAGCCACGGGCAGGAGCAGCCGCTCGACTTCACACAAACTGCTTATGCCGAGGGAATTGCATATTAAAAAATTAACTTTATTCTCTTTACATATCTCACTGTCTCTCTCACATTCTCTGGCTCTATCTGCTTATAGTGTTATCTTTTTTTTTTTCAATTTTGCGCTGCAAATTGATGAGAATTTTGTTGAGCACAGTGAAAGAGAAAGAGAAAAAAGCAAAGCTAAATGAATTGTTTACCCATTGGACGCTGTCTATTTAGTGGGATATTAAAATTAATCTGCTTTCAGCTAGATGAGGAAACACCAAATTGAAAATGTTTAATGGAAATGCTCGACAAACCAATATTAATCTGCTTTCAGCATGTAGCTGGGCAAATTAATTCAGCTCAATATTATCGAAGCTTGAACTTTGAGCGCTGCATAGCTATCAGCAGAGCTTGTTAGTGCGGTTTGGCATGAGCTTGGGAATTATCACAGTGAGACGGAAAATTAACAAGATGATTAGGTTTCTGAAAAGATTTTAGTTTATGGTATGTGAGCTATCCTCTAGGGTAGCAAAGTTGGCCAGAGATAGACGCGTAAGGTTTACCTGAGTTCTGGCAAAGTCTAGAAGCTTAGAAACTACTGGAAAATCGTTCAGTGCTTCAAAAAATTCAAGATAAGCATTAACATGAACATTCCAATGAACTAGTTCTTGAGAGATACGCAGTAAGACGAAACTTAACATTAAAATTTTTTAATTAGCTCACTAAGAATTACGTGAATCGCTTGAAAAAGTCTAATATATTCACAAAAATAACCAAAATAAAATAAAATACTGCCATTATAGCAAATGAACTAGTTCTTACAGTGAGCTTTTGGTTCCTAGCAATTATTTGTAGTTCATTCGCAAAAATTACTCGAAATTAAAAAAATCTGCATTTCCAGCAAATGAACTAGTTCATTCTGTGAGCTCTTGGCTTCAATATTATTTTTGTATTTCATTTATTTAATTTTTATTTCATTTTGCAGTTCATTCGCAAAAGTCATACATAATACAAAATAGATTTGTGCAATCCCAGCAAATGAACTAGTTCATTCTGTGAGTTTTTAACTTTAACTAATTATTTTATTTATTTTTTCCATAACTAAAAATCGCTCAATGCGTCATAAATGAACCAGTTCTTTCTGTAAACTTAACATTCCTATATAATTTAACATTAAAATTCTTGGCTCAAACTTCTTATAAGTTTCTATTAATTTATCAAGTGCAGCAAATAAACTAGTTCATCTATTCAGTTCACCCATACTTGAGCATTAAATTCCAGCATTAAATTGCAATCAGCTTAAATTGAACTACTAGTTCACTGAGCGCTATGGCAACCCATTTGTAATGCAAGCAAATATGCAATTATATCAAGTGGCTGGGGCCAGGTCTTCAGCCGCACTCACCTGGTGGACGGTACCATAACGTAACCACTTCATGGGAATACGTATGGCTGGGCACGCTCTTGGCACGGGCCAGGCCGAAGTCGGCCAGCTTCAGTTCGCCGCAGTCGCTGATTAGCAGATTCTGCGGCTTGACATCGCGATGCAGGACGCGTCGCTTGTGGCAGTAGGAGAGGCCGCGCAGGAGCTGGAAAAGGAACAGGCGCACGTTGCGATGGTCCAACCCACCCGGATGCTTTTCCATATATTGCGATAGATCGGTATTCTACGAGGCATAGCAATAGTTCGATTAGCTCTATATATATATATGTGTGGATATATATTTATCAATCTGTATACTCACCACATATTCAAAGACAAAGGTCAACGTCTCGCGGGTGTGCACGATGTCGTGCAGGGTCACAATGTTGCTGTGTTTCAGTTCTTTTAGCAGCGACGCCTCCCGTATGGCCGTGAATGGTGCGCCCTCCTCCTCCTGCAGCCGGATCTCCTTCAGTGCAACGCGCTGGTAGGTTAATCTGTGCGCGGGGGGGGCATAGAGAGTGTGTCGTGTGTCAGCAAATTAATAAAATAAATACACAAGTCAAGAGAAACATCCCATAAGAACCATTACGAATTGCCCGAGATGAAAACAAACACGGAATTAGCCAGAGCTCGTAGGGGCCCGGCTCGCATTGTCCTCGCCGCAAGTCATGTAGGGACAAGCTGCATGGCAGGGGCTGAGGCAGGGGCGGGGCTTGGGTCTGGGCGGTTAGGTGTGCGCCGTTGGGTCTTTGCTTACATTAAACGGACATAACGAGCCCAACAAAAATACGCACAAGAATGTGCGGCAAACACTTAAATTAGGATAAGGCCAAGTACAGACGACATGCCAGCCACGCCCCGCACGCCCCCCCGACGAAACGTAGCCGCCCCTAAGCCGCATATTTGAAGTGTCAAATTAGGTTAAATTATTTGACACCGACGCCGCAGACGGCAGGAATTTATGAGACCTGCTATAGCCCAGGCAAATTCTAATTGGAACTGACTCGGAACTTGGTTAGGCTCCACAAAGGCGAGGGTGGTGAGGAGCGAGCAGGGGGCATGCTAAAATCCTAGTCATAAAGTAGTTGATTTACGTCTGCTGCCAAGTGCCGGCAAAAATTGAGCAAAACTTTTTCGCATGGCTCAAGTGCGGCAGATGCTCGTCTCTCTCGCTCCCCTTCTCCCTCTCCCCCTTTCTCACTCTCTAGCTGTCTGTCTGATCCACTGGACCGAGGGCTGAGGGTTAATTCAGTTAACTAAAGCGTCGCGATTTCAGCTAATTGGCAGTTGACGTCAGCCACCAAAAAGTGTTTCGACTCCAAGTCACTTTCGCTCGGCTAATGATGATGACATGCGTAATGAGAAGAGCACCAGCCACTGAGTGAAAGATAATGTACTTCAAATTAACCCCGATGGTTAACCAAAGGAAGAATTATCGCATCAAAGGCGGATACAGAAACTTTGGCCTGAGCAAGCATTAGCTAAGGCAATATTGGATAAAGAAATAATATATATATAACATAACTTAATTTCCGTAATCACATATATTTTGGAAACTTCAATTAGACTTGAATGATATTTTATTAGGGGCAGGCTTGTAGCAGTTAGGTAAATATAAGTTACTAATTAAGTGAACGATAGGCTGGTCATAGACATAGGCAGGACTAAGCGTAGACTAGGCTAGCTAAAGGAAAATATTTGTAATTTAGCTAACTTAAGAGACTGTTTTAAGTAGGGGTATGCTGACAAAAGTAAAACCAATTCTCGTTCGTTAGGCAATCACATAATTATGATACAGAGCTCTGTTTAATAAAATGATATGATATATGTCTGAAGGTATGACATTTAATATGTTCTTATGCCATATTATTATGACCTTGAGTCTATACAAAAATATCCCAGCTTCCATGTTATTAAGTCCCAAATCCTATATGATATAGAGCATATCTCTAAGCATATATAATATATATATTTTAATTAATTTTAAAAAAGTGCTAACATAATTAAAGAAAACAGAGATTGTTGCCTAATAATTTTAATCTGGAAATAATTTGGAAAACAGAGCTTAGGTTAAGAATATGTTAGCTTCACAATATGGTACATGTTCACATATGGGAAATAATTGATTATCGCTCAGTTGTCTATAAATAACTTCTCATTAAGGATATGCTCATGAAAGTAAACACTTGCTGATTTTAACTGATCTAAGACTAATTTATTTTTTTATTGAACTCAGATGCTAAACATGTAATTTTATATTCATTTATTATTGTACTAGAAAAATCTAAAAGAAATTACTTATATAACTCTGAGCTAACCCCATTAAACAACTCCTCCTAAGACCTGTCTTCATTTTCCACTTCTCCATTTGCCAAGTACTTGTAAAACGGAATACCATTTTGATAGGTATAAAACATTCTGGGGCTTATCTGCCCACACAAATAACTGTTCCTATTTGCGAAACGCCTACAATTTTATTGGAGCATAAACCAATTTGATGCTGTAACAAGTATGCAGCAAGTGAACTTTTGTTTATATAAATTTTAAGGCTCATTTTTATGCCAACATCAAACCTCGAGCTGTGCTCGCCTGATGATCTTTTCGAATATCTGCGCCATTCTCTAGGCAAATGTTGCCGTTGAATGCCCGCCAGCCGCAACGGTATCAATTAAGCCTTTTATGCGATGGCAAGTGGTGTTGTTAAGAGCACACACACACACACACTCGCATGTGCACACTTTTATAACCTCCAAAGCGTATGCCATAAAGAGCTTATGTCTGCGCACATCCTGCTACGACAACATCCTTTGGCTCTGCTCCTTGGCGACATGCGAAATTTTCATGTAAGCGGCAGCTGCAGAGCAACTCAGGCAAATTACACGACAACAGCAACAGCAGCAAGGATACATGACTACAAGGATGTGTTGGCTGGTTTTTCTTAGGCGGGGGGCGGAGGTGGGGTGGCGTCACCTCGCAAGTGCCATGAAAAATGTATGAGAAAGCTGCCTGCCTGCATTTGATAATTTCCAACTGGGTCAACGTTTGAGTAGCTGGGCGTGGCAGGCGTTCGATAAGGGCGCGCCCCCCCTCTATGACATCCATGTCGAAGGATATGGGCCAAACTTTAGTTGCGTTAATGTAATAATAATATGATTTAGTTAAATATAGACAGAGAGAGGGCGAGAGGGAGAGAGAGGGAGAGGGAGTTGGAGCCCGAAAGTTTTGCCGTCAAGCAGCAAAGTTTGACGCCAGATGGCGCTACAGTTGACAGTTGACCCACTAAATGCTAATCAGACGCGTTAGCTAAACTCGAACAAAGTTCAAGTGCTCGTGCCCAAAGAAAAACACAAACTTTGCCAAGTCCAAACAGAAGTGAAATCATTTATGAAAAATCTCTCAACAATTGACAAGCAAACTCTGAAGGATGGCCGCAATGTAGAGCGCGCATAAATCTTAACAACAGAGAGAACCAAAGGCAAAGGCAAAGGCAAGGCAAAAGGAAAAGCCAAAGCAAAAGCTAAGCCAAGCAAAAGGCAAAGCACTGACCCAAATTTGCGAATTGCTGCGTATGAAAATGCTAATCAGCAGGCCAAGCCGAGCGAGCCAAATTTGGCTTGAATGCAAAGCCAACAACGGCTCACAAGTTGTCATACAGCGACAATTTTCATTTACATTTTCCATTTTCTATTTTCCATTTTCCATTTTGGCATTTCACCATTTCCCTAGTTCCCCATTTGCACAGTTCTTGGCCAAGTTTCCTGCTTGGCCCAGATAAATTAGAGCGAATTAATTGCATTCCGAATAAACAAAGCTAATTGGAACTCATTTCGCATGTGGCTCGACGCTCTGCATGCCAAATGAGAAGCCGAAACCAAAGAAAACACAACTTTTCCTTGTTATTCACGTAAATGCTAAATGCCCATTGTCATAGGCGGAGGGCGGCCTGCAGCTGCTGGGAGTTGGAGCCGAGCTGGGAGCCGCCTCTGCAAATGATTGTCAAATAAATCAGCAAAGGAGGCAGCGGCAGCAAAAGTAAGTCGGGGATGCCAATGCAACTGACAGCCACTGGGTATTCATCATGTGGCACCCTCCCTCACACCACCCACTCCACTGCCACTCCACCCATTGCTTGTGAATATAAGTAGCCCGCCCCCGCCCGCATTGCCCTGCTGGCTGGCCTGTCAAAAAGGTGACTAAGCTTGTTTTTGTTGCCGGCGCTCATTTGTCAAATTATGAGCGACGCAGCTCAAGAAAATCAGAGCCGGCGCAAATGAGCCGGCATTTGTTAAGGAGCAGGAGAGCGAGCAACTGGAAGGAGGCCGAGGCCGCTCGGCTGCCAACTCAATTGTGTCAAAGCGAGCGGCAGAGAAAAGGGTTACGCAGGGACTTTGAAAAGTGCGTTAAGAAACCCAAAAAGCCAAAACAACAATTGTGAGAGTCCACAACAGCAGCAGGAGTAGGAGCAGCAGGAGTAACAGGAGCAGCAACAGCCACTACCATGGTAGGTTTTTGCCAACTGAGTTTTTTCTTTTCTTTTTTTCTAAGCCTGCTTTGCCCCATTGTTGCACTGCTGCCCATTGTTGGGCATTTCCCGCTCGCAGAGCCTGCCCCAGCGCCTGATTGATAGCCGCATTTGCATGGGACAAAAAGAAAGGAGGAAGCTGCGACTGTGTCTGTGTCTGGGCTGCTGTAATGAGCCTCTGCCAGCAGCTCCACATAAATAGTATATATAGTGTATATATAGGACGCTGCATGGCAAATGAGCACACAGCCGGATGCAAAACGGCAACAGCAAAACGATAAAGAAACAGTGAGAGTGAGAGAGGGAGAGGGAGAAAAGAGGAATAGCAAGTGCTGCTCGAGCAGCATTTGTAAATAAATCAAGAGAAAATGGCGGGCGGGATTGTCACACAATTTTGCTTAAAAGGCATTTGATTTAGGCGCAGCAACTGTAAAGCTGACAGGATGGGACGCAACCTACAAAATACAGGACATGTCCAACCCGTTCGTCAGCCTTGAAGCTCGTCAAAATTCATGGGAGGCAGCAGAGCAATAATTTTGCTTAACCCACTGACATGGCAACCCAATTTGAGGACCGCAACTTGATTTATGGCACTCAGTTGGGACCCCACTAGAAACTTACATATATATTTACGTCTATGTGCGTGTGTGTGTGTGTACTCACTTGCTAAATCCTTTGTAGACTGTCGCATAGGAGCCCTCGCCGAGCGGTTCCAGCTTAACATAGGCCTCCTGCTTGCCGAAGGGTGAGTCGCCCTATGGAGAGAGAGAGAAACACAAAAAAATTAATAAATAAAGTTGTAATTAGGCAAAACTTTTCCAAGCTGATCTTAATTTATGTTGGAGGCGATTCTTATAAATCTCAAGTTAAATTGTTTTCAACTGCCGCCTGAAAGTATGCAGTGAGTTGTGTTTGATTTGCCGTTCAAGAGTCGGCAATGCAAATTTGCATTGCCAAAGAAGCGTAATTTGTGCTTATTAAGCAGATGCTGATTTGTTGTTTTTACTGCTCCAATTCCGAAAACAAAGACGAGATCCAATATAAGTGTGAGCATATAAATGGGGTGTATATATTTGGATGTTATTTTTTTTTTTTCATTTAATTTAAACAGCCTTTTTTTATACTACCTAATTGACAGCTTAACAAGTTGAACATAAAGACACAATTATTTACAGTACAACACTACAGAAATTTCATAACAATAACAATATACAAAAACATCAACAAACAATAACAATTTTTAAGTAAATCACATTCAATTTTACTTGATACATTTTTATAGGAACCTCACAGGGAGGTCCAGTGGATGGCACTACATTTGGGTGTTCATTAAGAAAATTTGTTTTTTGTTTTTTTTTTTTTTTTAGTTATCTCTAAACACAATTGTTTTGTATGATGTAAACCATTTTGTGGTGTTCAGTTGTACTTTCATCTGATTTTTAAATTTTGAGTAACAAGTTAAACTCTGGTTTATAGTACGCAGAGTTGTTCTCTTTGTCTAAAAAATTACATTATATAACTATAT